GATGATGAGTTCTGAATTATAGTAAAGTTGTTAAAAAATGATTTGCTGCAATGAATTTATCATTGCATAGTTTTAATACTTAAATGTGATCGTGATGTTCTGTCTATCAAGTATGGAAATAATGGCAAACCCTCATAATGTGGAAGAAGCTTATAGTTCCGTATCCGTAATGGGTTGCCACCGGCTGTTGATATGACGGGTGGTAAGTACTTCATGCTGATGTTCTTCTTTTTTTTGTGGAATAAGCCTGTAGACTAGGAGACAGATCACCTGATGATGGTAAGCAATCGGCGCTGCCCAAGGACACCCGAAACACAATAGGTGTAACAAGTGCGTTACCGGCCTTTTGGGGATTAGGAATTTGAAGATTATTGGGGATTCCTACTTGGTAATGGCTATTTTTAATGGCATTTGTACTATATAGGATAAGTTACCAAACTCAAGAATGCTGAAATGGTGTTCGAAAATTTGTACGTAGGTACCTAATAAGGTATATGTACTAGATTAGGTACACATCCTATTTTTGTGTGAGGTATGCGTATGTCACAGGTCAGTTCGTGCTCTCGATCGAATTATGGTGAAATGAGGTGACAAGTTTTCGCCATTTTATAAACACAACGCAAAATGGACAGAAACCATTGTCTGCGTGGTGAATGGTTTTCATCTATTTTGCTGTTTGCGTGGCCCAGTTAGCGTTTGCACTAATCGTAGCAAATTCCTTTGTCATTAAAGTTCAATGTACCCTTTACAATAAATTATAATTTATTATAGGTGTGAAATCGATAAGTTTATGAAACTGGCGAGTATTTAAATGGCTCTTTGTGGTTTTTGTTACACATTTCCGCTGCGTTCCATTGCATAGTTAGTTTTTGTCGCGGAGAACCTAACGGGTAATCGGGGCTCCGACTCGACGTACAGGAGAAGGAACGGGGTGGTTTTTAGTCAGTAAGAGTCTGACACTCCCCTCCCGCCTCACCCAGGCGGGAGCAGTCATTCGATGATTTTCCCCCCTTAAAAAAATGGATAGGTATAATTAGGTAGGTACGAATTTAATCATCTGATAGGTACCTATACTGATATTAGGATCTACTTATTTCCTAGGGCATAAGAACCAAATTGGTAGGTACATACCTAAACGTCATGTACCTGATTTTTTCTATCTTAAAGTGTTTATCAAGCTACCCACTATTATTTTTATTTCACAATTTCATTCCCAAGAACATTATGACTAAAATACTAAAGGTCAATTTGTCCATTTACCATAAACTTCACAGTCATTTCAAATAATCAAGTATAAACGTACCATAGTTACCTATAGTAGAGTGATATATCGCTTGTCAGTCGCATTTAGCGTGGGAGTGCAATATGACTAACATTAAGTTTTGAATGTTAAGGTTGAAGAATAATTGCCTTGACTACCTATATGGACTGCCTCATTGGCCGAGAGGTCGCAAGTGCGACTGCTAGGCTGCTGCAAGGGGTCTCGTGTTCAATCCCCGGATCGGGCAAAATATCATTGGGTTTTTAAGAAAAACCTCAATAGTAGTGCTACTACCTCAGTAGGAGTCTGGAATTGTGTCCAGTATATGGCAATAGGCTCATCCCCTATTACATGGGACTCATCATAACACAAATAGTGAAATGTGGGTGTTACGTTGTAGTGGCATTAAGTGCCATAATGTGCACCTCTACCTACCTTCGGGGATAACAGGCGTGATGTTATATGACTATAGGGAACCTAATATTGATAGATAGGTAACTAATAGGCCTTACATACTTTTTATTAAAGGGGCAACATCATCAAATTTTAATGCCGCCTTGGGTGAACCGAGAAGAAGTGTCAGACTCTTACTGAATAAAAACTACACCGGTTTCTATTCATGCCTTGAGCCGAAGCCCCGGTAACCCGCTAGTTCGTGCACAGCTCCGAAGGTTAGGACATATTGTCTGTGTACCTATAGTTAGGACAGTAGGTAAAGTGCCTAGGTATGTTATGGACTAGTTGGTATGTTAGTGGGGACTCTAGGTGCATATCTAGTGGCCTCAGGGAAGACGGTAGCACAGTGGTCACGTGCTGCCGTGCAAAGCGATGATCAAGGGACACGCTCGTCTCCCTAGATGTGCTGTATCAGGCGTTGCACCGTGGGGGCTCCGGAGCAGGTCTCTTCAGAGGACCCGGTGCCCCTTACAGGTGCTGAGAGTGGCCACCGGGGTGGTTTTAGTGAGGTAAGAATCCCACACTCCCTAGTCTTTCTCCCCAAAAAGCTAGGCGCCTTTTGAAGGTTTCCACTCGACATCAAAAAAAAAAAGGTATGTTATGGAAATTGCGTCGCCTATTAACCTCTTGACTGCCGGTAAGTATTTAAGACACAATAGAAAATACACTGTCTCACATGGATCTGCGTTCCAGGCAGTGGCGTAGCGTATCCTTAAGAAAGGTAAATATTTTTTTTACATAATATTATAACATTTTTTTACCTATTATACTCTATAACAGGGGTGGCCAACCGGTCGATCGCGATCGACCAGTCGATCGTGACTGTTAGTCTAGTCGATTGTGGCCAGACAAAATACTTATATAAATAAATAGACCAGACTGCGCAACGTAATTATCAACTACTATCTACAAACTAGATTATGCTAAACTAGTGGAAAATGCTCAGGCGCAATGCTCACACTAATATACCTCTATAGGACCCATATAATGTAAAGTAAATTTAAGAAAACGATCTCACATGTGATATGAAAAGTAACCACTAAGACTGGTCAATAAAAAATACATGATTGTGTACTAAACTATGCAGTTTAATTTCAAGAAGTATGTACTTGGTAGATCGCACAGGATCTCGTTAGTAAACAATCGATCTTAGGTCTAATCAAGTTGGCCACCCCTGCTCTATAATATTGTAACTCCCTCTGTCCAAATTATCGAACAATGATTAATTTCGTTTTTCCAAAGTTTTTGCCACCTTTGAACGCATGCATTTTGTGATTACTGAAATAAAATATAAATTGAGAAGTTTTTATATTCTTGCTTACACACGTTTCATCGCACACGAACACAGGCAAGAGTTGACAAGAGCTGCTAGGTAAGTACCTAACTTGCTAACTTAATTAAATTAAGTCATTCATTTGATTAATCTTTTGTATCGAAACCGTAGGGAGGTAAGTACCTACCTACTTCGAGTTAGTATAATAATAGAATAGTTTCCCATCGTTACGCAACTTACATCACACATAAAATAATAGATAGCTTGACAAATATTTAATATCATTGTTTCCGTGTGGTCGCCTTCAATCGATAGCGTACTACAAATATTGGATTGCTTCTGGCTAAAAATATGACGCTATACATAGTAAATGAATTATCTACTATTTTTATGATAGAGTTGTATGGTTGGACCTTTGTTCGTAATTCAAGGTCAGGGGTATATTGAATTTCCTATGTATTTACTTACTATGTACTAAAATTCAACAGCATAACTTTCTCTATGAAAAAGCATCCACAGGCTGAGCTGAGCCGTCTTAGACTACGCAATGGCCCTTGTGGAATATTTTTTTTAACGTTGCGCCACACTAGGGCTTTATCCTCTATCGTGGGTGCATTTACAAACATACAAGTTCACATACACAATGACACCCAGACCTGAAACCACAATTTGTGGATCAAACAATTATTTGCTCCGTGCGGAAATCGAACCCGCTACACTTAGCGGAGCAGTCTGTTGTCGCGCAACGTGTTGCGGTCCGTCGTAGAAATTGTCAGTCCTCCGGGGCCCCCGGGCATGGGGGCCCGGGGCGAGGGCCCCGAGTGCACTTATAAAGATGGTACTACCCACAAGAGTAAATTAAATAGCCATTTTAAGTTCATTTATCATTATATTTAATTACATATAAAAATTAATCGCTAACGAATTAAAACTACTTACAACTAAACAGACGAATCGATCTTCAATAATAATGAATCATTCTTTAAATGAATCAGCCTTTTTTAATATGAAATAAGTTTAATTTACTAATTTGAATATCAACATGGATGAATATCTAGATGCAATTCATTCTAAAGCCATAATTATATTTTTTCTTTTCCTTTGCATCGTTTTTTCCAATTTAAAATTGATGTTAGCACAGAATTTTATTTAGATTCAGATGAATGTACTTATGTATTCTGGTGTACTCTAGATGACACGGCTGACTCGGATGTATGTAAGTCTAAGTATTCTAGCGTACTCTAGACATATAGACACGGCTAACTTATATGTACCTATCTTTTTTTTCATGGTCAATTAATAGCAATGATATTATCATTTATATTTGTTTCAAGTATACACTAATGTGACATTCATAGATCCATGAAGATCCGAAATTATGCACATAAAAATAGTTCAGCAATTCATTTGTTAAATAATAAATACTGTCTTATAAAGTAGGCTATACACCGGTCAACATGCCACCTCCACTGCTATTCTGTAGTTTCGCAATTTCATCTTTGAATTTATTAATGGTTTCCTTAGCTAAATGCAACTTCTCCTTTAGTTCTGATATTTCACTCCGGACTTTAGTTTGGGCGGCTATTATCTTTTGTAATGTCTTTTCTTTCTTTTCTTCAACTGAAACAAGAATAATTATACTGATTAGTTTAGTGATTGGTTTAAAAACTTAGAGGTATTGTGAAACAAGTGAAACAAGTGAATTTATTCCTGCAAATTGATTACTATGACTTTTCTTTTTTAAATATAGTTTCTGAACTATCTTTGGTTGTTCTATTCTAGGATTATCTCAGGTATATGTCACACTCAGAACACAAATCAACTTGTAGAGAATATAACTAAAGTAAATATCTTTCTATGCAAAACTTACAACATATTGAGCAGCAGCTAGTTATCCACTATGCTAAACGTGAACCACATAACATAACATCACGCCTTTTATTCCCGAAGGGGTAAGCGGAGGTGCACATTATGCCACTGTACAATGTAACACCCACTTTTCACTATTTATGTAACGAGTCCCATGTAATAGGGGGTGAGCCTATTGCCATATACCGGGCACAATTCCAGACTCCATGCTACTACTGAGAATTTTTTAAAAACCCAGTATTACTTTGTCCGACCAGGGTATCGAACCCGAGACCCCTTGCCCGGCAGTCGCATTTGCAACCACTCGGCCAACAATGAGGCAAACGTGAACGTGTAATCAAAACTAGGTTATAAACTAATTAGCACAGATCACACATCAACAGCCTATAAGTAGCCACTGCTGACCAAAGGCCTCTGCTCACATGGAGATAGTTTTGAGCATGCATTATCATACTTCTTCAAGGGTGGTTGGCGATTTCAAACTATAATTAGAATGATGTACATTCTACAAGCCCAGGTTTCCTCACAAATATTAAGTATCTTTCACTGTCTAAATAATCTTAGAAAGAACATAAGTCAGAAAAAGTCACATGGGTACTTATAGTTGGTAGGTTTCAAACCCGCATCCTCATGCAGGAGAAGCGGCCGTCTTAAACCCTCGGGCCACCACAACGGCACAACAAATTAGCACTTATTATTGGAAACTATTTCTTACAATCAGTGTCATGAGTCCAGGGTCCATTAGTGATGGGTTTGACACTGTTCAGCAAATGCTGCATCAGCTGTGTCGGTTCTTGGAAGACTATCTCTTCATAGGATTCACTGACTAGTGCTCGACCCACTGCAGGAGGAGCTCCATCCGCAACTGGCGACTGGAAGAGCTTGAGAATATGGTATAGTGCTACCTGAAATAACAAATAAATAGTACATGATTAGTATACCGCCACCACCACCGCCACCACCACCGCTGTTCACGGCCACCAGTTTGCATCCATTTTATGGATCAATGTGAATGTGAGACACTGAAATTGGGTGAGTTCAAACGGATGTGAACTAACTCCTAATTATTTCAACTTTCCTATTTCACTTTTGTGATGAAGGCAGATCTACTCTGCATTAATTACCACCTCTATTCATCTTGTGAGTCTAATAAGAACTGACCAAGAGACTACACACTGGTCAGAGACCAGAGACTTTTCAAACACCTTTAATGTAATTCACCAAGGCCTCACAGAAAACCAATGTGATATAAATATAACGCTTGTGTTTTGTCCTGTGGGTGAGGTTATCGGAGTCCCAATTACCACCCTCCCCCCCTCTCCAATGAGTGAGCCCGAGTGAATCCGTGAGTCCCCAACAATCCTCAAATTCCTAATGTCTAAAAGGCCAGTAACGAAGTTGTTGTAACACCTCTGGTGGTCAGGGTGTCCATGTGTGATGCCGATTGCTTACCATCAGGTTATCTATCTACTCATTTACTGGCTAATCCCATATAAAAATTGCAGGTTAACCAAAGCTCAGTGGGGTATTACAAGATGTTGATATGATTGATAGTAGTTGTGACTAGTCAGTTTGAGGTCTTAAAATAGATTTTCCTAAAAGTCCCATAATATTAAGTGCTCAATCACCAGTAACTACTCTCGACTGACTCCATTATAGATCTTATTTCTGATGCTTAGAGATTATTTTTGTAGGAACAAATTTAGGGTATGATATATCAATGTATTAAGTTGAAAATGTTAAAGAATTAATTAGTAATAGGCACTCACAGGTCGTTCATTTGGATCGTGAAAGTAGATCTTGATAACTATCTCGAACTCCCCCCAACCTGTCTCGGTCAGCTCATATGGTTGTTTAGTCACTACTCTGTTGGGGTTCGCATAACTCTCGTGCAGTTTAAAGTGGACCTTTTTGATGTAAGTGGACATATCCTCATTAGCATAAGGCTTCACATACACTGTCCATTGATGAGTATGGCCATCTTCTTCACGCTTTTTGCCAAAGTATCGCGCTACATTACCGTATACTATAGGTTTTACTATCACAAGACCCTGGAAATATGTCAAGATGTTTGTCAAGTTAGTTGCTAATTCTTAAGTTGCAAAGTTAACAAGACATAACATTAAAAGTTAAGTTAGTTCGTGTTTATTTTAGAATATACAATTGTATTAGGCTATTTTGAAGTACTAGTATAGTAATGCTTTGTGAGGTATCCTATCACATCACAATATGCAATATCGACAACGAAATGCACCTTCGAGTGTTGCTAGAAGGTTCCTAGAAAAAATTAACAGTATACTGCTTTTGAAAGCACTTACTTTAACTCTGCCCCCTGAATCGGGGCCAAAGTCGGTTTGTAAGCTCATGTCCAAATCTATTTTCGCCGACAGCTTGGTATTTTTAATATAACTGTTTTGTAAACAAAGATAACCTCACTTCGCGCGAGTTTCGATCGACTTCTACTGTCACATTGACAATTGACTATGACAGTATTGACAGTAGAAGTCAGTGTCTTTTTTCTTGATAAATAGCTGGCTTTTGGCACTTATTCACTAGCCAAAATTTCAAATAACAATCACTTTTGATACATTGTTTTCTTTGACATGTTTTATTTTTATTTTAAACGTATCTTTAATAGCTCATACTTTAAACAAATTTAACTATATTTTTCGCTCATTTTGAAAGCTTAAACTCGGCTATAACAGGTCGTTGGCTGAAACACTGTTTAGTGTAAAACTGTTGAAATTATTGGTAGTTATGTAAAGTTTCATTGTTATTTATGGTATTACATTTTTTTATTTGTCTATTTACATTTTCCAAGAGTATAATAAGTATAGGGCAAAGGGTATAATAAGTATAAGGGAAGTTAAGGGGGTCATTTTATTCAATATTGCAGTGCGTTTCATTTTAACAAATAGTAAATAAAACATCCGTTTATTTATTTATTTTAATAGTTACATCTTATTAGAAGGCAAGTGAACAATGGTCCAACAAGCTCTTTTCTTAATCGCGATATTACAATTGAATAATTAACATTAAACTAACTACATAATTGCATAGGCTCTAAGATATAATGAGCACAGTAAAACAGTCACAACATTGAGAACTTTACTGAATGTGTTGTCGTCACATGACGGCTGCGGTCGGGCGGGGTCACTGTTTAGGCCGTTTGCAAAAAATACACAAAATTTATTAAAACCTTAAACAATGACATACACTTATTCAAATAACATCAATGGGATCACAATCATGATTCCAATATCTGGCTACAGATAATTCATAAAAAATATTTAAGCAATCAGTATCCTCGTGTGACTTTTAAAATTTGTGGTCAGTGCGTTGTTCCAGCTCTGCGAGCAGTGGATCACTCTCTTCTTCGAATTTTGACGATCTTGATCCATGTCGGGAAGCTGACACTCTCTGGGAGAATGTGAGAAGATTGGGCACAAGGGAGCTGCATGGCGTGGCTGGAGCTGATCGAGAAGAGGTCCGAGTTGTAGGGGAGATTCTTGAAGTCCTAACAGGGTAAGCTACTGACAATGGCATGTATAAGCTCGTTTTTCGTTGCCTTGGCGTTTTCTTCACGCTCTCAAGGCGTCTGTGACGTCTCTCGTCACTAGTCCTCCGTAAAGTGGAATCCCTGGATGTCTGTGTTGGGCTGGTCGGTTGCGGCGGTGACTCAGGTGGGTCAGGTTTGCCAGTGTAGAACTGCCGCAAGCTGCCGTAAGCCTCGTGCATGTACATATTGTTGTCGTCATCTTCATCGAGTGACTGGTGAGTTGGAGGTGATGAACCGAGTCGCGGCTTGCATCCACCATCGCAGTACATCTCGCAGTCAATAAGCTCCAATTCAAGGTCGAAGGTAGAGTCCTGAGAATGTAAGAAAACATAGAAATATTTTTAATTCTGTTCCATGGTGAAAACGTCTTGGAGTAACTAACTATAAAAATAAAAATATTATGGAGAACAGATAAAGAAATTGTGACATGGGACGTGGTTGTTTCTTATTTGAGTATCGGAATGTACTAAGAAGCTTTTTGCAAAAGTTATACTGTGCAGTCTCACTAACCAAGGGTTGGACAGGTGAAGTGATAAGGTTGTCCCGGAAGGCAGCGGGTGGGTCTCGTGGTCTGGAGGGCATGGGTTCGGTGCGGGAGCGCTGGGGGACCGGTGCCGGGGCAGCGCGCTGCTCCGTCAGCGAGGACAGGGACCGTAGCAGTGGTCCGCAGCCCACGCCGCACTCCTCGTAGTTGTTCGCGCACGAGTACGGCGGTGGAATGATTGAATTTGCCTGAGAACATGATGTTAGATCTGACTTAAAACTGTGAACATCTGCTGCTGTTTGTGAATAACTTGAAGTGACGATAAGCATTTATCATTTCAGGGTGCATAATTTAGTACTATCACAACGTTACAAGAAACTTATCTCTTCTCTGTACATCACTTGTAAACATAGAAGCCTTACAATACTAACAAGTGAATACAAAGTAAATAAATGCAAGTGAGTAACCGGTTCAGTCTGGAAATCGTGACACACTTAACTTAATGAGGTTTAATGATAAAAGCAGTACCTCATTCGCCGCGTTGCATATGAAACTGGAGTTGAGAGATTCTGCAGTACTCGTCGCTGATAGAGAGCCTGAAACAACAAACAATTTTCACACTATTTTCTTTCAAAAACTTTTTAAATATGAAGCACCTACTAACAGTTGTCATGTTCAGTTTAGCTAGTCTCAATACCCCTTCGTGCTTTTTAAAAGCCTTTCTCACGGGATCCAGCATTTTTTTAGTAACATTGCAACCGTTTGATCTGATTCACGTCGTCCAGGCGACTGTTTGTTCTCTGCAGCTGGTAATTCAATTAGTATGAAAGCAAGTCTCTCGAAATAAGCTCTGAAGCCGATTAGATGCAGACGGCTTGGTTAGTAATATGTTAATGTAAACTTCTATTCGCTCCTTTCCGAGGAAAAATAATAAAAGTAATTTATTGACCGACAGCAAATCAATCAATATGATGATTAGAATGTTCCATACTAACGATCTTTCAAAGTAATCACTAATGGTGCACTTCAAGCGCTAGTCAGCTTTTGCCAGTTTGAACTGTATGTCTCTCTACACTTCTGCGAGAAGGGTGGGAAGGTAAGTACAAACCTGGTGCACGAATCACGTAGTTCCGGAAGTAATGTACCATGAGATAGTTGCCAGCTTTGGCGTCACCCTCACCGCAAGTGATGACCAGTGGATATAGATCAGGTTTAGACGCAACCTATGACAAAATAAAAATAACATTTTAAAATCGGTAAGTTGTTGTTATAATGAGAAATTAAATGTTACGAAACATGTGTAAAATACAATAAAAAGCACTCTAGGCCTTATCATTCTCGTTTTCTGAGGATCAAAGCATCGACACAACAGCAGAACAATCATGCAGACATCGATCACAACAAACTGCCGGATTCCTTTTTTTTGTAATGATAAGTATCAATAAAAAATAAAACTGGCGAAAACAAATAAACCTCCAACTGAAGTAGTTTCACAATAAGTATATCACTTCAGAATACGGTGGTGGTGCCTGGTGGAAGGATCCGCAGCGGCTGTAGCGGGGCGGCGGGTACACCGAGCCCGCTGAGTCGTGCTCTGAGGTCGGCCGCCGCACGCAGCACGCCATCGAACACATGTACACCCCATGTCCTGATGGTCTCTTGAAGAATAGACACCAGATGCAGCAAATCAAAATACCGCCAAGAGTTCCAAGAAGAAACAGTACGGGCCTGCAACGATAAAAATACATGATTGGCTTTAAATCATCAGTTAGGTACTTTGCGGTAGGTAAGTTGTTAAGCGTATACCTAGAGCCTATGCACTCAAATTTATTACGTGGCAACACTAACATTTTTTTTATTTGAGGGGCCAAATTTATTCAGCCTATAATTATAAAAATGATTTTATTTTTATTTGTTTTGCTTATTATGTAAAGTAATTAAATAGTTATGTTAATCTTACCATTGCGCATACCAAGCATAGCTATAACTATGCTCTTTGAGTGGTGGTTCGTCGGCATCTCGCCGCGAAAGTATTGGTGGTGTTGTGTTTACCCGTCGCGGCGGGTTTACTGTCGTAACGGAGCCGGCGTCGCAGCACCCGAGCTCGCAACACATCCATTGCGTAGGGCATGAGTGCCCCTCCTGGCAGAGCACTTCAGTCACGCACTGAAAGTGTAATAAAAATTATAAAATCTGCTCCTTTAAGAAGTCGGAATGTCGAACAGGAACAGTTGTAAAATAAAATAGGTATTCGAGATTTCCAATATCGATTTTTCATGTTATAAGTGTCTCTTAAAATAAAAGATAAATAACAATACACCTTCAGCGTTTTCTTAAATAAGTATTTCAGTTCACTTAAATTAAAGTAATAGGATACATACCCTATAAACATTGGTCTCAAATCAAAACTGTCATTAAAAACAAGACGTAAAGTAAACACAACACACAGTAAATGGGAACGACCCAATCTCTTAGCTGAAGTAGCCTCTCAAAGAAGTCAGTCACTTGACACATCTTCAGTGAAACGCTTAGCTTTCAAACCTCAGCAGACATTATGAAGTCATTTATATAGGCTACATTCATATAACTAAAGGTCTATTCATCTACTTTCCAGTTTCTAAAAGGTTTTTACACATCAATCAAAAGAGCTCGCGTATTCACTTTCTTTTAAAGTCATTCAGTTGAAATAATCTTCAGGGTTATACCAGGGCCGAATCGTGCATCTTTGTGTTCTTATGCGCCTGCCACACACTCATATGGAAAGTAACGAGGAAAGGAGGCAGAGACTGGTGTGGCAACATTACTCATCATACCACACGTCAAGCTCCTCATCCTGCCCACTGCTCCCTATTTTGTCGGTTTTTGCGGTTCTAAGGGACCGACATTACGATGAGGCAACGAGGACCGGCAATAGGAGCGTTGCGATTAATTGCGCGAGTAATGCAGTATGTGGGCAGAGAGGGCAACATCACGGCCAATCACGGCAGCGCGGGGAGCATAGCGATGACCAGCCCAAGGAGCAGGCGCGTTAAAGTGTTGCAATCAGGTCTTTTTGGTACAGTCACAATGTATCTACCATGGAATAGGAAATTCCATGTATCTACATTATAATTAAATAAAGTATAGAATTCCAACGTATCAAGAGAGCGTAATAAGTAGTCGGCATTGAGAAGAGGGTGCAGAGTAGTTACATATCTACACAATTTAACGGCTTACTTGCAAGCAAACCGCCGCGGCTCGCAACGCGGTGACTGTGTCGTTGCTACTGATCGCTGACTGCGTCGCGGGTCGTGGCATACTGCTCATAAATATGAGCCTCTAGCATGGCTTGAATCTAGTCGAGTTCCTCGTCAAATATTTTTTTAAGCCGATAAACATAATATTATTTTCAAACAGTCTATGTGTATTAACAACCAAATTACGAGGACCAAATACTGATATAGGATTTTAATTCTTATAATGTTACATACCATTTTCGAAAGCACCCTTAAATCCGGCTCTGTCCAATTTCGTATTGAAATAAATCAAGGCCGTTACTCCGGATAAGTAAACAAAATAAATTCAGACTTAAATCCGAAATACGATTATGTAAATGGTCACATTTATAATGACTTTCCTGAAATGATTCATTCGTTTGATGTTTGTAAATAAATAGGACGGGGATGACGCAATGTTTCAGTTTTGGGAGCGTCTCTGTAGGCAGCTTAAATTTTGTAAGCATTTTAGGTAAATTGTGTTTCTTTTAAGAGTTTTAAGCATTGCTTGAAGGTAAATTTTATTGGAAAAGCCGAATGTGACGGAAAAAATATATACCAACGGGTTTTTTAAGCTAGGGAAATTAATTAGTGTTAATTTTCTCAACATGATAATCGACCTTAAACCTTTTGTTAACAAGGCTCTCTATCTATAAACCGACTTGTTGAACTAAACACCTAATATCCTCCTACAAATTAGTTGGTTTACTTTTAATTACCTACACATTAATGTTCACATCGAAATATAAAGATGTGTATAAATTGCTAACTGAGACCTCAATTTCTCCCTGAAAGTTCTTGAGAAAGAAGCCATATCAAGGAATCAAGGTAAACCAAACAAAGGTGGTCTCGTTGCCATGACAACGCACATTGTTAGATGTAAAAGTTTTCCTTACAGTCACCTTCAGATCTTAAACGTTTCCATTCCATTTACGTAAGCATTTCGAAGAGAAAATATCTTTCTAATTAGTGATTTTCTCAGATTACTCTAGACAAAACAAAAGCGGTATCATTTTCACCACCACCAAATGTTTATTTTTCGATCCACCCACACGCCACCCTCTTGATAAACCACACATACAGGGTGTGTACCTAGTCTAGCATAAATCAATACATCGTTGCATCCCTGTTAATAAGTTCAGGTGAATGATAAAAATAGAATAGAGCGTAGGTCTGTAGTTTTAGCGGGAACCGGGTAGACTGCAGCGCGCATGTTTTTCTTCCATCGATCGCCCTGTCAAACCGGGCACAGGAATCAAGCTACAAGTGCCTGTATAAAACCTTGTTACCTAGATCTAGTGCTAAAATTAGCTCTCTTATCATTTATTATATATGCCCTTATTTAGACGTTAAATCAATAAGTTTAATTGTTAATTCATGACGCTGTTGTTGACACAATTCAATTTGTGTTTTCCTAAATTTTCCGTTTAAACGTTTCCATCGAATTACACATAGGAAATGTTTTCGTTTGAAAAGTTATTTTAACCTTGTAATTACGGTTTTAAATACCTAAGATATTTGACTAAAAGTATGTAAAATAATAATAATAATACTCACAGGAGCAGGTCTGGTAATTAAAATACCGAGCATAGACAAAGCGAAAAAGGCGAAAATCATTGTGGTGATGAGCAGCGTTGTCTGGCACGTCATGGAGTACAAGTCACATCGTTAGTTATTGTTTGGGAGTGCAGTCTGCACTGGTGGGGACGTCACGGGGTACTAAGCTGGGGCGCGAGTATATCGCCATCTGCTCGCGGCGAGGGCGCGCGTGCCACTGTCTCACTTCGACGGTAACTTGCTTCTACCGCTATGCCGATGCTAGCACGTTAAATGAGAAGTGCAGAAGGTTCATTTGCACCAAAATTTTTATTTCCATTCGTTATAAATATGACTTGACAAATATGTGTATTAAAGCACACGCCATCTTTTCCGTGGCGACATTTTTATAGGTATTATTCTTGGATAGATATGGATGAATATGAATAGATAGATTAGATTAAATATTTAGTTAAATCTCAATTTAAAAGAACCGTAGTAGCTAGAATGTCATTTAGTGCTCAAACATCTTATGTAGGTATTAAACTATCAATAAATTTTACTCAAGCACTATTCAGTTGACCTTCTGCCATCACTTGTATCGTGAACAAACCAGCCCCTATCTCGTTCCGTTTGTAAATATAGATGCCGCCACGAACCACGGGTCTGCTTATACTGGTCGTTGCTCTATTGTCGACCAACATAACACTTGCGGCTATACAGGATAGAACTGTGGCTAGTTGTTTGCCTGGTCGCCTCGTTCGAAGATACATTCGACACATGTTTGAAGCAAAAGTTATCTTGTTTTTCAGGGATCCGTAGTACCTACTAAGACTTTGTTGTCTGTCGGTCCGTCTATCTGTTAACAGGATTTGTCTCATGAATTAGCTGGTTTCCTAGGTTTAAAAATTAAATAATTTTGTTTTAACTTTTCAATGCAAAAAATAATTAAAAAATAATCATACTCTCATCCATTGATTTGAAAATTTACCTACTTTTGGATTTTTTCTCGCTAATTTTAAAGAACTAAGTAAGTATGCTATTTGACGCAGAAATATGATGACGTCGTAAGTTGCCATTCAATACAAAATTCATAGAAAAGTATCGTTTTTGACATTTCAATAAAAGTATTGAATTTGACTACCTGTCAACTACCGTATTGTGATGGCTATGCAGTTGAAATTTTCACAGATGATGTATTTCTGTTGCTGATATAACAAACAACACATACAAAATAAGACAAACGGGATAAAATATATCTATTTTTTTATATTTGATTGTTCGACGTTTGACCTCTATCTTGGCTGGTGGTAAGCGATGAAGTATACCTACTGATATTATTTTTTATAAGTACATATTTTTCAGTGGTACGCAATCCTCAAGGGGTTAACCGCGGTTTACATGTCATTTTTGCATTTACTTCATAAACAATGGTACGGAACCCGTCGTGGAAGAGTTCGACGAGGACTTGGCCAGTTTTTTCTCCTTAGTATTTCCCCAGTTTTATAGCAAATAGGAATGTCGGGGCATAAATTGCTATGTTCTGAACTCATGCGGGAATAAGTTTGTAATGTTTTCAAATACATAGTTACTTGGTACATGTATCTATGTACTTATGTATGCATGTATGTGTGTAGGTATGTATGTGTAGAGAGTTTATGGAAAATTCCATTGTTTGTAATTCGTTTATTGTTTTTGTTTAACTAAGCTGGTTAGGATTCTTGTTTCTTTTGAATTTATCGTAGATACATGAGTCATATTAGAGTTATTGTATGTTCCATTATTAGCTCGAGTAAACAAGCAACTCCTTGCTTGTTAAAAATAATAAACTTAACGTTACTCTTTCGTTACACTTAACAATTTTGTATCGTTACTTTTTTAGTGGAGGAGAGCTATGCTTCGGCACGAATGGGCCGGCTCGACCGGAGTGATACCACGGCCTCACAGAAAACAGACGTGAAGCAACGCTTGCGTTGTGTTCAAATTCCTAATCTGGTGTTCTGGGTGTCCATGGGCAACGCCGATTGCTTACCCACAGGTGATCCGTCTGCTCGTTTACGGGCTTATCCCATAAAAAAACGAAAATATTCTAGGTTTTTTTTTGTGAGAATAGAGTGGACTTGCACAGCAAAGCATTCTAGTTTATTACCTAACATTAGTTAGACCAACACAATTCTCAAAGATTATTCCTATTCAATATTTAACGACACATGAAATGCCCTAAACTAGTGACATTTTCAAATGAAATCGTACATTCATACATTGACATAATAAACTGCAAACTGGACCTTGACCTCTGCCAGAGCTACATAAAATTTGGCGCAATGAAAGTGGATAAAAATATATTATTAAGGCGCCTCGCTGGCTACGGCGTAGCTATGTCGTAGCGCGTAGCTCGTAGCACCGTAGTAACATTGAATATGTAATTCAATAAGTAGTTTGTAAGAAAATATGGCTCCAAGTGAAATGGCCAATCCCCTTGAGATGTGCGTCTTACGAAAATTGGCGTGTTTCTACAAATGTTTGTAGCTAAGTTTGTTATCATTTTCTGTTTTGTTTTGATAAAAATAATAATGTTTGGATGTATATTCAGTCCTTTGACTTTTTAGTTATATTGTTAGATATTATATTGTTAGAAGAGACGTCGTCATGCTTAAATGTACCTTTTAAACATATTATCAATTTAATAAAAAAAATAATCTAAGCCGCCAGCCGGTTCAGCCACTTAAGGTGAGTTTACGCACACATGTGTATGAAATATGTTAATACTTATAATATCATTTGTATATTGTAAGTAAGTAATTGTTCTAACTTAATATTATTACTGTAACTTCATTAAAATGAAAGTGGTTTTGTTGGGCGCACCCCAAACTATCAGAAAAATAGGTCAGGCCAAAGAAACAATAAAAATATTACGTAAAGCTGTTAGAGGGCGAGACGACACTGTCGCTGGGGACTTTAAAATGATATTATAAAATTTTGGAGAAACATGTAAGGCGAGTTGGCAACAAAATAAATAAAATAAAATACATTTTCTTTTTATGGCATAAGCCGGTAAACGAGCAGACGGATCACCTGATGGTAAGCAATCGGCGTCGCCCATGGACACCTGGAACACTAGAGGCGTTACAAGTGCATTACCAGCCTTTTGGTGATTAGGAGTTTGAGGATCGTTGGGGATTCATGAATTTGGGGGATTGGGGAATGGGAAGGTAATTGAGCCTCCGCATTAGTTTGTGTTACCACCTCTGCTCTTCCAACGGGTTCTTCTACTCTTCCAACGGGTTCCAGAGAGAGTGAGAATGACTACACATTTGACCGAGATCGGGCAGCAGCGCCCTCTATTCTAAGAGCTTAGTGCGAGTTTGTTTTACGTTCAACGAGACAGCGTCCATAGCTCTGATTCACTTATTGGTTGGTTGATTGGAGCCAGCCAATCAGAACACCTAAAACTAAAACTGCGATCTTTAACCCTCCTGGCAAGTGTGGAGAATTAGACAAACCCTCTTATGTAGAATGGGATCATAGTCCAACCGTGTCTGTAACGCGAGCGATACATATCCATCGAAAAAACCAAGTGTGGGAGAGCCATGCTTCGGCACGAATGGGCCGGCTCGACCGGAGTGATGCCACGGCCTCACAGAACACCGACATGGAACAACGCGTGTCGTCATGTGAGTTAGATTACCGGAGGCCCAATCCCCCCCCCCCTCTCCTTCGCTAATCTCCCCAATCCCGGAATCCCCAATAATCCTTCCAAATTCCTAATATGCATAACAATGCACTTATAATGCCTCTGGTGTTCCAGGTGTCCATGGGCGGGGCCAATTGCTTACCATCAGGTGATCCCATAGGTTGTTTCCCGGCTTGACCCATAAAAAAATATGTCGTTTCTCTTCCAAATGATTAAGCAAAAATATTATGCGTGTATTTGGTTGATGCGGTTGCCTTATAACTGAGATATCTTCGTCTTCTAGTACATTACACTTTACGGGGTATCGGCAATGCTTATCGTTCGTGTTATGTCAAACCAAGACGAAATCTTAATGTGGTATTTTTATATTTACTGGTTTAACTGATACGATATATGCGTACACTGTTTTAGACATAAAATATTTTTCTTCTTTTTGTGCATTTATTTGTATGGGATGTCGATTTTCAAAATGCTTCTTCGACCTACCAAAAGATACTCTATAAGACAGTAACTTAGTATTTTAAAGAATCACTTAAGTAGCGTCTTGGTATTCTAAAGGCTAACTATAGTTGTCTATTACATAGGTAGAAGATTTTGGTCCGAAGTGTCCAGTCGCGTGATTTCTAGCTCCTCAGAGAGTGATCACTGCTTGCTAGGCTGCATTATTTTTATGAAAATTATTTTTCTTCCACAGCTTGAGAAAATTGACTACTTTATTGAACGAGCAGTCGCAAGTGCGACTGCCGGGCAAGGGGTCTTTGATTCAATTCCCGGGTCGGGTATAATATTACAGGGTTTTAAAAAAATCTTAGTAGTAGCACGGAGTCTGAAACTGTGCCCAGTCTATGGCAATAGGCTCACACCCGATTAGATGAGACTCACAACATAAATAGTGAAAAGTGGGTGTTATTGTACCACTGTACAATAACACCCACTACCCCTTCCCTACCCCTTCGGAAATAAAGGCGTGATGTTATGTTATGTATGAGAAAATTCTTAAAGGTTGTCATCAATAGTACCTGACAGTCCACTTCTGAAGTATGGGCCTCCTCCACATAATAGGGTCAGCGTATAGCTACGCTGTAGTATCGATGCTACGAACGCTACGGCGTAGCAACTAGAGAAAATAGGTTAGTCGACTTCATCTTTTGTTGAATACGTTTTGAAATATTTCTTGTGATTATTCATTATTTCTTATTTTCTTACGAAATTGAATAGTTTCGAAGATATATTGTTTTGAAATATCACATGACGTCACTTTTGAGTACAATTTTTACTATAAAATGACGTAGCTACCTCCGACTCCTAAACTTTGATTCGTTTTATATAGTGGGTGTTTTCTTTTACGACAAAATAAAAAAATGCGTGTCTAATATTTTTTCATTGCTTAACTGACGGACTAATTAGATTATTATTTTTCATACAAATTTATTACAACACGCTCAGCGCTGTTGTATCCTTAATGATACACCACACTGCACACACACACTCTTTGGAGGCCGATGTATCGCGCAGTATACACCATTTCATACATTTTAGTAGGACGTTCAAAAGTGTTGGCCCTAGAGAATATGCCTGTGTTATTGGGGTGTAAATATCTTAAAAAATTAAGAAAATATGGGTAAATAAAAACACACATACACCTCATAAAAAGGGGTAAATTAAAAGAAAAAAAAGATTTTTTTTTTGTAGTAAGTGAAACCAGTAGAATCAGATTAACTCGTCGAGTACCGGTTTTGTAGACACAATTATAGAACAATAGGTTGCGGTCACCGGTGACCGCTTGGTGTTTGACAGTTTAATGCAATAAAAAAACGCAATTCCAGCACCCTTTTCCAAAAATTGCCTTGGCACTGAGCGTGTTAAAATAATAACATTATAGGTACCTACATATGGAAACGCGGTGTTACATTGCAATTCTAACTATTCGCATATAAAAAGCGTGGGTGGCATTATTAGTGCACGTGTCCAGTTGTAATAATCAAGTAGATGTATCATGCGAACGTGGACACCGCCCACCAACGCACCTATTTATAGTTGCAAAGTATTGATCTGTTTACTGAGAAATAGACAATACAGTATGCTATAGTACCTACATACATCGTACATTAACATGTATGTTACATACTGTAGAATTTGTCTCTCATAATCTGTAGTATCTATATTCCTCGAAAAAAATCGGGTGGAGTAGGTATTTTTTTTAAGGGGGGAAAATCATCGAATTACTGCCCCCGCCTGGGTGAGGCGGGAGGGAGTGTCAGACTCTTACTGACTAAAAACCACCCCGTTCCTTCTCCTGCACGTCGAGCCGGAGCCCCGGTTACCCGTTAGGTTCTCCGCGACGGGTGGAGTAGGTATAGGTTATACACATTTATCGTACACACGGCTACACATCGAGCTTTACATAACCAGTATAAACTGAACGTTAAATGTGCGGAAAGATGATGCGACGCGACACCAGGGTAAAAGGGTTTTTACCGACTTAAAAAAAGGAGGAGGTTAGGAATATGAGCTTATGGCACATCTTACCTATCAGTGGGTGAGTAACCTATCAGTACTAATAATAGTTATTTTTAGCTTTTTAGTTTTGACTTTTTGTTTGTTATTAGTTTTTTGTTTTTTGTGTATAGATTGATGTGTGGCCGTGTGTACTAACCCGTGGTATGGGAACACAACTCTACGCGAGACACAATATATTTTCTATTGTGTTTCATATACCGGCACTCAAGAGGTTAAGCAATAAACGTGTTCTTATAATACAGCCATTCATAAACCTTTTTATCAAAAACAAGCTTCTGCCCGCGACTTCGTACGCGCAATCCCGTTTTCTCCCGTTCCTGTAGAATTTTCACGATTTTTCATTTCTGTCATAAGAACCTTCTCCTGACAATAACAAACACAACAGAAAAAAAATCAGCCAAATCGGTCTAGTCGTTCTCAAGTTATGGCGTGATCCAACGGGAAACGGGTTTCATTTTTATTTATATAGACTAGTGGCTCCTAATTAATAATCGTAGCGTGAATTTCATAGCCTATACCTATATAACTTTCCTCGGTAAATGGACTATCGAAAACAAAAAGAACTATTCAATTCGGACCAGTAGTTCTGGAGATTAGCACGTCCAAACAAACAAACTCTTTCATTGTACATACAATAAGTATCATCACGCTTTTTATCCCCGAAGGGATAGGCAGAGGTGTACAATGTACATTATGCCACTGTACAATGTAACACCCACTTTTCACTATTTATGTTATGAGTCCACTATTTATGTTACGGCAGTCGCAATTGCGACCACTCGGCCAATGAGGCAAGCAATAAGTATACCTCTAGTATACGATAAAATGGGTCTTCATCAATGCCAATTCTTTTCTCCATACGACAGCGCGCCGTTACCATCTAATTCCAATGACTCTCCGTAACTCTATCGTCAGTTCACCCGATGAAAGACTTTTGTCGAAGGGCGAAAACCAATGAATGGGTGTAGAAGACAGAGGGTCGGCTTGCGAGGGATTTGGAGAAACAATACGATCACCACAGTTACTTTCACTTTTTATTCACTTCCTTTAGTACCTTTGTTCCTTTTTCCCGCTAGGGGAGCTTGGTTGTACTTACCCACGTCAGGTTTGACGAGCAACCTAACCAAATTGATGTAACGAAACCATAGCACGATCTATCTCGATATTAACACCTTCTATCGAGCGACGTGACCACTCTGACTAATAATAATTTTATTATAATTAAATGTTGATCGCGCTATGATCCCGTTACCGCTCCGAACAATAGGAGCTCTGAGATTATGGCATCACGGGGCACCCTTACGACCAAATACTGAAATACTAAATACTCAATTTTAAGTTGAACTTAAAAGTCTGTTTATCTCTGTCATTTTAGAAAGAATAGGGATGATGACACTGTATGAAAATTAAAAAATTTATTATTCCGTCGGTTAGGTAATGAAAAACTATTATACCTACACGTATTTTTTAATAAGCAATCGGCGTCGCTCGACACCTGGAACACCAGAGGCGTTACAAGTGCGTTACCGGCTTTTTGGGGATTAGGAGTTTGAGGATCGTTGGGGATTCAGGGATTGGGCAGATTGGGGAAGGGGAAGGTAATTGTTTGCTGTAAATGGACAAAAAAATAAAGAAAAATATTTCCATATTATGTTTAGGTATACTTTATTGATATCTTAAAAGTTACATTATTGATTATGGTTACAATTACATTTGTGTGCAAACACTACCGAACTATTGTAGGTACAATCAAGTGCGCGTTCATTGTAAACGAAATTAAATCATAGGTACACACGGCTACACATCAAGCTTTACATATCCAGTATAAACTGGACGTTAAATGTGCGGAAAGATGATGCGACGCGACACCAGGATACACTGGTTTTGTATAGATTGATGTGTGGCCGGGTGTACATGCACATCCTATGTAGTTTAAGACAGCTACTTATTTTTAACAATATAATTGTAATAATATGATATACAAAAAAATCAATAGATCAAATGTATAAATGATTCATATTTCGAAATGTTTTTAATATCGGGTTCGGGTTCTGTATTCTACTCCTAAAAATAATGAGATTATAATGTATACCTACCTAAGCATGTATTATCAATAACACTACACGACAATTTGACATGATCTCTACACTTTGACGCTAAATTACACATTTTTTGCATGAAATATATAAAGTGAAATTGATAGGTGCTTTATCTATCGAGGGATTTATTATCTGTAGTTCATATTTTACGGGGTACATCGATTTTACGACAGTAATTATACATAGATAAACGGATGCCTTTTGCCAACTGATCTTCTGTCTACAGAAAAAAACAATCTGCCTTATATGACAGTCTCCCTACTCTGAATCTCCGATCATCTTTTTGAAACGATGTATAGCCATAGGATCCTTATAATAATACCATGGATTAACAATACAATAATCCATTAGTCCACGATACTAATTACATAGGTACTCCTTCAATTCTCCATGGTAATACATAGACACTAATTCTTTGGTTTCCACCTTAAAGTACTAATTTATAACTAATTATAAATACGGATAAAATTCCCGCCATAGCAACAGATGCTTATTCTAGATGCCTACGTTTTTGCTCGTAGGTAAGTAAGTATTTCTCCACATTATACTTTGCTTATACTTTGTAAGTTTGGCAATGAGCAGCTATTTAGCCTCACTTTGTGAGTAGCTGGTTTAACTGGTGATGTTCTTTCGAAATCTTTGCCGCTTTAGTAACGATGTCACGACGGGAAATATAGCAGGACTTTACTTCTTAAAACTACCATATACTTAGGTATAAATAATGATTTTAATAAGAACTTAATATTTAGGTTAGGTATAATAATATATCTTGTATAAATTAATCATAAAACATATTATGTAACGTACTCAATAATAATAAAATAATATCACAGAAATTTCGTATAGCCTGGCCGAAATGGATTAAAAAGATAATAAGTATCTTTATTTATGAGTTCAAAGGAAGGCAGAAGGTAGACGATGTCTATGGCATTTCACGCCTAAATAAAAAATACTGGCACAAAACGAAACGGAAATCGTTTAGAAAAAACTTACGATCTAAACATCATAAACATTTTCGATTACTGTAAGACTTTCTACTACGACATTCAAAAATATTATAAATTTTATTACGAGTAAATTTGGCAATCGCCCCTGTGAAACGCTTTCCACCTCATTCATTCCTAATGTAGCATTCCATGCTATTCATTCAATGTGTAGCCTATAATCACTTTTCGTTCTTTCCTACAACCCTGATCACTCCGCTATATCCCACCCATCCGATTTAGTGACTCTGATCGCAGTTGTGCATCCACATATCCTTAATGAGATGGATCCGGTTCTGCACGGTAGCGATATGGTCCTCCAGCTCACGGGATACTGTCTGCAGACGGTCCAACTGACGAGCCAAGATCTGCTGCTGAGGAGCTCCAGCTGATGACGAAATAGTCGATTTTTTTCATTTTTAGTCATCAGGGACTACTCTACTCCATGGTCTGATCATTTTTTTAATAATGAGTTATAATAAGAAGTTGAGTGAATTTTGAAATTAAAAGCAACAATTTGTGGAAGATAATATACAGCATAATGCGTTGTGCGGAATAAAAACCGCAAAACGTTTTTGCAGCAGTCAATGCACGAACAGTGCAGTCTTAAATAAACTAAAGTTATAAATAAAGTTAATATAAAATAAATGTAATAAAAATCTCTCAAGGTCCAGCAGTGTTTGATGATGTATCATGTCTCAGCTTACCTAAGTCCTCACTCGTATCATTGGCTATGAAATCGAGCTGCCTCTCGTGCAAAGTTTTAGCGGTTTCATAGTTTATTTGCATCGCCATGCCGGAGTCGACGTCATCATCAGGGTCAATGTTACGGCTTGAGATACGAAGACTCCTTCTTGGACGAATCTCGTAAGCATCCATATTGATAACACGTTCATTCAGGTTCTGTAACAACGTTTTAGTCAAACATAGTTGAGTACCTGGCCAACTAGTCAAATTCAATACTTTTTTCGAACTGTCAAAACGACAGTTTTCTATGAATTTTGTACGAGATTGTGTATTGTGACGTCATGTTTTATTTTTTCAAATATCATATTTTTAAAAAGTTGATGTAAAAGTACTAAAATTAAGTTGGTCAAAAAATCAATTAATGAAAGTGTGATTATTTTTAATATTCTATTGTATTGAACAGTCGAAATCATTTATTTTTGATTGCGGAAAGTACCCAATTCTACACATCTAATCTTTACTTAGCGGATTTAGTAAACACTAAATCCTGTGTTGTTATGCTTAATTTTATTTTAATATTGTTCTTAATTGTTGTATTTTATACGAAGGATACGTCTACTTATATCAATAAATATCTGATATGAGTGGTACTTTCGATAGTTAAGAGCAAGATCGATAGTTATCTACTTACGATAACCTCCTTGGCCTCCTCCTGCTTCATGAACTCGTACAGCCTCTTTTCCAGGTCTTGTAAGACCTCTATTTCCCCGTGAGAGAGGAAGGCAACTCTCTTGCTCTTCAGAAAGTTGGTTTTGCCGGACTTCATACGCCTTTTAGTATTTTCGCCCCAGTAGCGAAGCACCTAGTCACGAAATTAAATACAATCTGTTATTAACTCGTCGAGTACCAGTTTTGTAGACACAATTATAGAACAATAGGTTGCGGTCACCGGTGACCGCTTGGTGTTTGACAGTTTAATAACGAATGAGCATAAGGGAAATGGCGAAACCTAGATGGTTTCGCCATTTCCCATTCATTCACATTGTAATGTGACTGGGAAATGATAGGACTTCGAGAAATAGAGAATATTATAGCACTTACCAACTTCCAATTCATGGCGGTTAGAGCAGCGCCTTCAGGAATGTTGTTCAGGACTTCGGCAAGCGTCGTCCATTTTTGAACTGTGGCAAAGGACATGTCGGCCCGTCCAGAAGAGTAGAGGGCTGGGTCTTCTTCCACTGACTCGAACAGTACGCGCAGCTGTTCTACAGTGACACGTCGACGTATGTTGCACATACCGGGACGAGCACGAGCCATCTGTGACAAACAAAAAGAAATTTTGAGCTATAGATAACTTTCGCAGTTTTTGGACTGATCGGAGCGTGGAAACTGGACATTTTAGACTTATGATTCCAGAAGAATTTAAAATACCATTATTCTTTAATTATTATTAATTCTTACATTACTTGATATTATATTCTTCCTCACTTTCAGTTAAGTTTATTGAACTGGTGAAAATTATTCTTGGTACTGATTAAACATTTAATTTATTTAAAATCAGTGGCTTTACCAAGATGGTGTACGATTAAGAAAAAAAATTGACACCTTTTCTTCCTGCTACGACTTTCACACAAAATCAACACTTATTTTATCTATTAGAAATATTGTAGTGTACAATAACGAGAATTATTAAGCATTAGCACTATGGACTCTGTATAGCCAAGTATTTTCTTCAAACAAAAATATTGAGACGCCTAGTCAATTAACAATAGCAATATCATATTTAAAACACATTGCCTTTACAATTTACCTTAAAAAAATTGCTATCCAAAATTGATTAAATTTAGCACTAATAACATATAACTACAATAGCGTGATTTTTAATAAATTTAATACAGGTAGTAACAACCACTGTCGACATGCGACAAATCAATAAAATATAAGAGTAATGGTGGTCATGGTGGCTCAATACTTATTCGTACCGACGAGTTAATAGGTATCTAAATTATATTTATTTTCTTTACATATAAGTATAGCGTAGCTAATTTTGGAAATCGCTTTGCAGATAAATATTATTAGTTTATTGAATAATTTTACACAAGCTTTAATTAATGTAAGGACTTTGGGGACTAATTACCTATACGTTTTAATCGAAGGAAATATGAAGTGAAAGTACAAATAAGAACATAATTTAAGTACTTTAAGTACTTTCGTAGTCTTCGGAAGGAAGAAATATTCAGTAATAAGTACCTTTTGATTTTTTAGGTGCAACACGATGCAGGAAGCGGCAACAGTAGAAATTACAAATTATCGATCGGAAGTGAAGAGACAATGCACCTACTTTTTATTTACGATGTTCAGATATTTAATAGGAGTTGACAAAATGTAAATACCAAGACGTTATTAAACAAAGCCAGTGTCATTTTTGACACTGAAATGTAATAAAATTTACATTCGTGTAAAATGCCCAGCTGTAAAATTACATAGTCTCTGTAATATTATTTTTGTTTAAAAAAATATAGTTATATAAAGTAAAAAGTATGAAAGACGCCTTTTCAAGTTACGAAGGGTACAAAAGAACATTTATTAGTCTCAAGATTTTGTAACTATTAAAGAATTATGAGTTTAGTCGAATACTATTTGCAGCTCTATGGACCAGCCAGCTGGTGAGTTGTCATTGTCAAATTCATGTGTCGATGTGCTGTCAAAAAGCAAAACGACAACGGGGTTCATGCACCAATATTGTACATTAGAAGAATGATTTTTATATTAAAAATAGTGTGAGCTAGGTCTAAAAATATGCGGTGGAGTGTGTTTGTTTTGTTTTCGTTGATTTGGGCCGTGAAGGCGTGGGACGACGGTGATTTAGAAGTGTTTGACGTGGTCGAAGAAGTTAATCAAAACTTTTATGAATTACTGGGTGTGAAACAGGTAAGAATTGCAATAAACTTTCATAGAAAGCTTAATTTCACTCTACGGTAAACTTTCAACTAATATAATAGTCGAAATTTCGCCTATCATTGTAATCTGATCTAATACTTCTGTGGGTAAATCTTGCGGTTCGTAAAGCTGTTATCATTAAAAATAGATAATATACACGTTAATGATAATTAAAATCTTAATCCTTATATTAATTAAAATGGTTAAATCGGTCCCTGATTAAAAGTACTTTTAATTATAAAGGAAGGTACACCCTACAGTTTATGAAAATAAAATAAAAATCAGTTTTTTGTCTGTTTAGGATGCATCACCGTCAGAAATTAAGTCTGCGTTTAAGAAGCTCACATTGAAGCTTCATCCAGATAAGAATGATGCTCCTGATGCTGATGTGCAGTTCAGGAATTTGGTCTCCGTGCACAATATACTCAAGGATCCAGGAAAAAGAGAAAAGTATGAATAAGTACCTTTGAATCACTACATGTTATAAAACAAAGTTGCTATCCACCGTCTGTCTGTCTCTATGTATGCTTAGATCTTTAAAACTACACAATGGATTTTGATGCGGTTTTCTCTAATACATAGAGAAATTCTTAAGGAAGGTTTATATGTATAATAGACTAGCTGTTGCCCGCGACTTCGTCCGCGTAGAATAATGACTTCTGGCAGAATTTAGGCTTTTGAATTAGTTTTTATCAAGGGATATTCTACGGTAATGGATGTCGTCAGAATTGATTCAGTCCCGTAGTTGATAGCGTGATAATATGTAGCCTATATGTTTACCAGACTTGTTAGTAATATTCATGCAAAATTTGAAATAGTAGTGCAGTACTTTTTGAGATCATCACGGCCATACATACAGACAAACAGACAAAAATTCTAAAAACCACATTATTGGCTTCGGTATCGATTAGAGATCACGCTTCAAATATTCTTTTAAAAAATATTCAATGTACAGTTTTGACTTTTCTACGATTTATTATATGTGTAGATAGCTGTTGCCCGCGACTTCGTCCGCGTAGATTAATGACTTCTGACAGAATTAACCAGAATCAATTCAGTGCCCAAGTAAGATTTACCTATTTTGAAATGATTTATCGTAGTTTCAATAAATAAATAATCCCGCAGGGATCTTACCAGTACAGTGCCCGATCACGTAAGGTTTGAGTAATAAAAACTATTCTATCGACTATTGTTGTACCGAATCTCTCTAGAATAAGTTCAGTGGTTAAGAGTTAGAGAGTCCTGGGGCATTGACGCATAGTTCCCGTTCTCGTGAGACATCTGTGAAAAAACTATCATACGTTACCCAGGTCCCAAATCATCGTTTTACCGAATGTAATTCAAAAAGATTCAATGATTCTAAATTCAACGGCTAAGAAGATTTATACAAACTCTCATTCCCTATTTTATCCCCTTAGGGGTGGAATTTATCAAAATCCTTTCTAAAGAGATACCTATGTCATAGTAACTTTATGCATGCAAAGTCTCAGCCCGATCAATTTAAAACTGGCAAAGTATCATACTTTGGGGTGAGAATGTTCAAAAACCTTTCTAAAGGGACGTTTACGTCATAATATCCATCTGCACGCCGAATTTCAACCCGATCGGTGTAAAACTGACAAAGCCTCACACAAACGTTCATCCCCTATTTTACCCCCTTGGTGGAAATTATCAAAATCCTTTCAAAGCGGATGCTTACGTCATAACATCTATCTGCATGCCAAATTTCAACCTGATCGGTTTAAAACTGACAAAGGCTCATATAAACTTTCATCCCCTATTTTACCCACTTGGGGGTGGAAATTATCAAAATCCTTTCACAGCGGACGCCTACGTCGTAACATCTATCTGCATGCCAAATTACAACCCGATCGGTTTAAAACTGACAAAGGCTCATATAAACTTTCATCCCCTATTTTACCCACTTGGGGGTGGAAATTATCAAAATCCTTTCATAGCGGACGCCTACGTCGTAACATCTATCTGCATGCCAAATTACAACCCGATCGGTTTAAAACTGACAAAGGCTCATATAAACTTTCATCCCCTATTTTACCCACTTGGGGGTGGAAATTATCAAAATCCTTTCATATCGGATGCTTACGTCATAACATCTATCTGCATGCCAAATTACAACCCGATCGGTTTAAAACTGACAAAGTCTCATACAAACTTTCATCCCCTTTTTTACCCCCTTGGGGGTGGAAATTATCTAAATCCTTTCTTAGCGAATATCTACGTCATAACATCTATCTGTATGCCAAATTTTAGCCCAATCTGTCCAGCGGTTTGGTCTGTGCGTTGATAGATCACTATGTCAGTCAGTCAATCAGTCAGTCAGTCAATCACCTTTGAATTTTATATATATAGATGCATATTGCACCCGTGTGAAGCCAGGGCGGGTTGCTAGTTAGTAATACAAGTCTAATAAATGTAGATTGTATGTATATTTCTTTGCTATACATCAAATTACTATTGGAATCTTAATAATACAGGTAAACCTAGAAAATTGTTTAGATTCCTTACTTTTTACAATTGTATTATATTTGTTTTATCTACCAATAGAATAAAATAAAGTAACACCATTTTTATGAAATACCCTATTAGGTAAAACAATACATCCATTGACCATTGTTATAGACTAGATGATAAAAAGAGATACAGAAAATATGTATGTGTATTTTAATGTTAATTTTTATTTATTTTGTACTGATTTTTCCTATCAATCTATTAGTTTGTTTTCGTGCTAGTTACACATTTTTCCTATTTATCATAAGTATGGCTAAAAATAAACTTTACAGACCAAAATAATTCTTAAATAAATTGTTATTATGGCTACATAAAAGGGACTTTATGAGGAAAACTTAATTATAAACGTAACACTGTCTTTCATGTGTTCAAAGTGATTGCAATTAATTCATAAACATTCAAGTTAACTCGTCGAGTACCGTCATTATAGACACACTTAAAGAACAATAGGTTGCGGTCACCAGTGACCGCTCGGTGTTTGACAGTTTAAATGAGCATTATACAACATTATAAGATAGGATTACTTATAATATTATGCAATAATTATAGGGTGAATATTTGTATAATTTATAACATTGTGCAATAAGTTCTGTGTTAAAAGTATTAAAAAAAAAATGGAAAGGCATAGACACATATAATTATAAAGACATTCATATTAAATAATAATGCATCCATCTAATTATAAGATCCATACATAAATAACCACATTTTTACTAATCACATAATTATTATTTGTTCGACTGCCTCATTGGCCAAGTGGTCGTAAGTGCGACGGCCAAAGCATTGCTGGTTTTTTTTTTCAATCTCAGTATTAGCACGGAGTCTGGAAATATATATGGCAATAGGCTCACTCCCTATTACGTGGGACTCATAACATAAATAGCAAAAAGTGGGTGTTACAGTGTAGTGGCATTAAGTGCCGTAATGTGCACCTCTGCCTACCCGTTCGGGGATAAAAGGCGTAACGTTATGTTATACTATAATTATTATCTTCAATTTTCAGATACAATGAGGTGCTCAAAAATGGTCTTCCAAACTGGCGTTCAGCCATTTACTACTACCGTCACGTGAGGAAGATGGGCCTGGCCGAGGGCTCCATCATCCTGTTCATCATCATCACATTTGTGCAATATGCTGTTGGCTGGGCTGCATATGCTGAGAAGAGATTTACAGCGGTAAGTTGTCATAGATGACCAAGGATTGGCCGCAAAAGCTTTACATAGAAACAAGTGGAATAAGGGCAAAGGCCTCCCGCTTTTGCCCTGCGGTAGGATGATCATGGCTGAAATTTTTGTGACAATTTATTTACTCTATTGCCTTTTTGGGATTGTTTAAGATTAGGTTTCCCTTTAAAAATAAAATATGAAGTGTGAAAGTAGCATTCATAACATAACATCACGCCTTCTATCCCAGAAGGGACAAGCAGAGGTGCACATTATGGCACTTAATGCCACTGTACTATGTAACAGCCACCTTTCACTATTTATGTGATGAGTCCCATGTAATAGGGGGTGAGCCTATTGCCATATAAGTGAAAGTGTAACAAATAAAGTAACTTTCATATATTTAATATCTGAATATGGTGCATAACGTAAAAATAATGAATATGAAATACATACATAAACAATTAATACATTCTTTTAATTTCATTTCATAGCTATGTCGTAACCTAACTATGTAGAAGATAACTTTGTGTATGTTCCTTGATTCTCGCTACACAAACAACTAGAACTATTCTAATTATTATGTATTATTTATTACAGGAGCAAATACTAAAAAGCAGAGGCAAAAAGCATTCAAAGAAATCAGGGTTTGACCAGGGATTGTCAGAAATCCTAGACCAGCTTCCTAAACCTAGTATTAAAGACACATTGCCCTTCCAAATCCCGCGGTGGGTGGTCACATCCATACTGGCCATACCGCGAGGGATTATAGAACTTAGGAGAAGAATGAAAGAGAAAGAAGAAGAAGCTAAGAGACAGAAAAAGAGGTAT